ATTTTAATATAGTTCCATTAATAAGAATATGAAGCTATTTGGTAACAGTTATTCTTGGGCTGAAATTTCAGGAGATATAAAATAACTTTAATATAAGAAAATTTGGATAAAGCAATATGTGGTATTTTAGATTTAATTTTCTCTGTCTAGAGTTTTATATAGTGATTTATAAAATCAAATAATGACATTAAATTTAATTCAAGTAAAGAATTTGAATAAAACAATGGTAAAATTGTTCAGGTACACTGCTTCACAATAGAGATAGTGCTTAATAACCTGAGCAGGTAAAATTTCAAGAGGATTAAATAAATGATTCTTTAGACTATTTCTCAGCAGTTATTCTGTCATTAGATCGGTGGGGTCAATTGTAAAGAAAACTTTATAGACATGAAAGGAATTGCACTTATATTGAAGAACATTTATATTTAAAAATGTAAAAAAAAAGGTAGATAATTCAGACATGGGGAAATAATCACAGGAAAGTCTTAACTAGAGTCTCCTTAGCAAATAAAAAGTATCCTTGAAATTTTATGCCTTATAGTGCCAGGAATAAGGGGTATTGTGAAGGACATAACACACACACATACACACATACACACACACACACCAGGGCAATTAATATTTATATTAGCAGATACCAGGTAGAAGAGTGTCATTGAGTATTTCAGAGCAGTGACCTAGCAATTTATAAGATTTACCTAACACAAGTAGGAATGACTATTGGAAGGAAGATCAGGAAAAAGATAATCTAGTTCAACCTAAGACCTAACTAAAAGATTCTTATTAAAGGAAGGTTTTCCTTATCCTTTTCACTTAAGTATAAATACTCCTTCTGTACCAGGCAGTGTATGATGTATGCAATTATGCCACTGAGCGAACAGCAACAACAAAATGTTCCCTGCACTAATGAGATTTAGTGAGATGTAATGAGCGGAGAAGAAAAGTCATTATATAAGAAATTGTGCATGCATAATAAATGTCATGATATGGGAAACTCGATGTGTTATAGGTGGATGTTGGAGAGAAACTACACTTTGACTTGTACGTCAGTGAAGTCTAAGCTAATGTGGAATTCTAATTATGAGTAGATATTCGTTGGTGAGGAGAAGGACGGAGATCTAAGGGATTGTATTCCTCATGGAGGAATAAATCATGTGAGAGAGAACCTGGCACCTTAACGTGAGATTTTGACACAAGGAGATAGAGTTAGGAGAAAGTGGTTAAAATATGAGGCAAAAGAGAGAAGCAGAAGATTCTGAAGTTCTCAAACTCAGGACATTAAAGGATTGAATTTCTCCCTAAAGGTAAAGACACCCACTGAGACCTACAACGGTTTTTTGTATGTCTGCAGGGAGACAGAAGGCAGGTTTATATTTTGAAATATCATGAAGCTTAAGTAAGAGAAGGGAAGTTTACAAAATCAGAGGCAGGAGACAATCCAGGAATTTGCTAAACAAAGTGCAGGTGAGATACGCAAGTACCCAAATTAAGACTGACCAAAATGTTCATAAATTCCCCTCAACTTGTCTAAACTCTATTTAGACAGGTTTCTTCAAACAAGAGGCTCCTGAATTCCCTGCTATAAAAATATGTACTTTGTAAAACTCATAACTATACATTCTTTCTTTGACCCTTTGAGATGTAAATATTTTTATTTTTATTTTTTTAAGTTTTTTTTTAAGATTTATTTATTTATTTATTTATACAAGCACTGGGTACAGTCAGAAGTGCGGGAGGGTGAGAGAATTCACCAGAGCCAGAGTGGAGAGCAGAACAGGCAGACTGATGAAGTACACTGCTGAGGGGAGCAGCGGGCGTGGCAGGAGAGGTCTGTCGCGCTATGTGGGACCCTCACCAGTGGCCGGAGATCAAACCAGCGCTGCAGAGGCTGCAGGCAGCTTCACAGCCCAGCGCTCAACTGCTGCGCCACTGGGGAGACCCTGAGATGAAAATATTTTTAAATAATCATTGAAACTTATATAAAGCAGGACTATCTGAAAAAAAAAAAAAAAACAGGAAGTCATTCCTTTAAAATTTAATCATCAAAGATGATACAGATCCTATATCTCAGTCTCACTGTGAGAGTGAGTCATTCTAGAGGTCCTTTGCTCCAAAAATACCTTCTGTCATGAAAATAAAATTCACATTTGCTTTGGGTAAAGGTAATTAGCAAATGGCCTAAAGTGTCCCTCAACCAGCCACTGGAAAATCTTCAGCTTTTTTGTTGTTATTGTTTTAGTAGAGTTGAATTCAGACTGAGTTCTGGTCTATTAATTATTAATAAATTACTAATAATGAATAAAGTCGTCATTTCTCACTTAAATCCATCCAGTGCAATTTTTCTTTGACAGTAGTGATATCGAGGTAATGAAAAATTAGACAAGTTCAGAAAACATTTAGAGAATAAAAGCAGAATATTTCGTATGGTATTTGTGGAAGGGAGGAAAAACGTTTCTATGTTTAGACGTGTACAACTTCAAGTCCAGAATTTAGCAATTAAAGTCAATTTGGGGATTTAAATGATGCCTGCAAGCTTGGAAACTGTAGTGCCACAAATAAGCCATTTGCAGAGGAGAATTTACAGGTTTTATAAATATAGGTAGCAGTGCTCAGGGGACAGAGTTTTGCTCTAGTCATGTACTTCAATAGATATTTAGTCGGGATTGCATGAAAATGGCCAGGAAAAGTGGGGCAAATTGGAAGAGGGTCCCAAATCTAGTGACTCGTTATGTTAAAGATGTGTATAGAGGAAGAGGAAACCATGAGGCAGTGAAAATTATCACCCAGAAAGATAGCAAGTATTATTGCTGAACACTCGACTGAAAATTATAGAAACGATGATGAGAAAATGCACAGCATAACGTAATGCTGCCCAACATTGTAATTTCATTCAGGCTTACCCAAGCTGTTCTTCAAGTAACCCAAACCAAATTATATCATGAGAAAGATAATGAGGTCATGTCTCTCCATATTCTGTATTGTAATTCAGTATAAATTTGAGTTAAGAGTGTATTCAGATAATAAATAGGGTCTATTAAAACGTCTCCAATTTTTAAAATAAATCACCATTTATGGCATTTTTTTTTTAAATTTTCAGTGTGGAGTATTTTCAGCTAACTGTATGTTAAAAATCAGTACTGAAGAAGTTCTATTACCAACATGGAACTGGAATACCCATGACTTCTTTTTTACACCAAGAATCTTCTCCAGTACTTTAAGATTTGGTATGCTCCAACTCACTTAATACTGTTGAAGTTTTAAGGTTGTGCCCAGTAACCTAGGCAACTGTTCTTATTTCTGTCCTAATTTACTTCTATTTATAGAGCTTATATAGATTTAATGGTCTCAACAATATATTTTAAGACAGAACAGATTTACAAACTACATGCTCTTAAGTGAATAAAGATCTGACAGATTCTAGTGATCAAGCCCAGCACAATTTATTTTAGATTATCATTAAATATGTTGAATAATGTATCTTTTTAAAGGTGACATAACTTCATCATGCTGAAATACCATATAAATGTAGTTGAAATTGTAATTTTCTGAATATAGATTTTTAAGTGTTTTATTTTTAATGTTATATTAATAAAGTAGACTGCAACAAGTAGAGACCACAGCTTCAAACACCTCTAAATATTAATCTTATATTCAAAATTCGGTTTGCTTTACAGGAGTCTATTTTCTCATCTATTTCAAATTAGAGTTTATGAGATAAAGATGTCTGGTCTATTCTTTTAAATAGGACAGACAGAATAAACAATGAGCTTGAAGAATTTTCTGTAAACATATATCAAACTCATATTCACATCATTGTATAATGTCTGATCACTACATGTAACTAGAGCTTTTCCAGAGAGTATTCTTCTTTAATAATTAAGATAATCACTAATTTCCTCTGCTGTTCCTCTGCTATTTCACAAGGCATGCGCTATTGGTCTTTTAATATTTCACTCTCCTTGACAGTGGAGACTAAATCATTATTTGTTGGTTACAGACCTTTACAATGCCCAGTGGCATTTGCCATGGATGACAACAATAACAGATGATGTTGAGCCAAAACTACTGGGACTGAAATGCAGAAAGTAAAATGATAATAAATAACTGTCACTCCATTACTTAACACTGCCTGAAATTGGTTCTAGTACAAGTTCAATATAGCAGGCGCTGCATAATCCAAGAACCAAAAAGGCATTTACTCCTTAGTAATAGCAGCAAACATAAAGGAACCCCAAACACTTGTCTTGTGAAATGATCAGGAATTTCTCATTGAGCTTGACATGAGCCTTCAAAGAATTCTAAAAAGAGTCTACTTCAAAATCTTATGGTATCTTCTCAAATTGATGGTACCTCAGGAATGTGTCAAAAGGCACTCTCAGTCCAATGTATACAAGTTTCAAGAATGTGGGGTAGAATATAAAGATAAAATCTTATGGCTATATTCAACTAGGCAGTTGAATATATCCTAAACACGGAGATGTAAGTTAAAAAAATATGAGATGTTAGGGATATAAGATGCCTAGGAGAGATCATTATATCTATTTTAATATGATCTTGGTTGTGTTAGGGCAATTTGGTTGGGGGGGGGGGAGTTGAGCTATCTTCATTGGCCATCTCATAAATTTTAGGTATGAGAGCATAATTTGTTGTAATAAACCCACAAGAGAGCTATTCAATAAGAGGAGGTTATTAGAGTTAAATTTCCATATTACACAATAATTACCTTTTAAACACAAAAGAAAATTTGTACTCTCCTACCCTTTCTCAGACTGCTGTGGCATTCTTTATTCTCTTCAATCTATAAATGATGTAACAGATTCGTTGTGGTGGTGGTGTTTGTTTGCTATCTGGTAAAGGTCTACTAACTTATGTGCATTCTGAGGATTTTCTCTCTGTGCTTTATTCAACCAGTAACAGATCTGGGAGTTGCACTTGTGTCTGGCTGTCTGGGCTGACAAGACAATGCAATTCTATAGCTCTCCCCAAGGGAGGTGACATACCCGGTCAGTTTTCCCTTCTGTCTGAATGCTGGTGTGACTACGGACCTCATGATCTTCTTCCAGGTCAGAAACATCCTCCAGTTCCTCTGGGGTCTGTGAAAAAACAAAATATGCTGGTCAGAATGCAAAATAGTACAATTGCGTTGGCGAACATCCTGGAAGTACCTCAAAAAGGAAGCACAGAAACAAATATGACCCAACAAGTTTACCTCTAGTTATATACTCAAGGAAAAGGAACATGTCCACACAAACATTTGTAAATAAATATTCAAAGCAGCACCATCCATAATAGCCAACAAGTGGAAATAACACAATCATATATAAAATATAAATGAATGGATAAAAAAACGTGGTAAATTCATACAATGGAATATTATTTGGCCATAAAATAAATGAAGTATTGATACATGCTACGAAGTGGGTGAGTCTTTAAAATATTATGCTAAGTGAAATCAATCACAAAATGCTATCTACTGTATGATTTCATTGACACGGAATGTATAAAATAAGCAAATTTATAGAAACAAGTTTGATTAGTGGTTCCTAAAGGAAATAGTAGAGAGGAGGAGAGTGAGCGGTAACAGCCAATGGTTCGATGGCTTCTATTTTATATTACAACTATATTTTAGATTTACACACACTAGTGGTCACAAAATTTTGTGAATATAATATAAAGCACTGAGTTTTACATTATAAATTGCTAAGTTTTATGCTATATGAATATCCCCACAGATTTCTTTGAAGGAATGCAAACAAAAAGATCAGAAGCAAGTTTTTCTCCCAATAAGCAGCAATTAGTTAACCATCACATATTTACTACAAACCAAGGTGTTTATAGGTAATCAATATAATTATCAATAAAACCCTATGACATTAAAACATCAACCAAATAATAACAAAATAATTCTCTTGGACCTTGAACAATATAAATAACTTAAATAAACTTCAATGTCTCGTCTAAATAGCTAACTTAGTTAAAATTATTTTATTCCATTTTGATTCAGTATCTCTTGTTCAGGGAGTTGCCTTTTTCAGGGTTGGGGTCCTCTGTTAAGTGTTTCCTGGCCCCCATTTTCACTCTTATAATGATCATCATTCTTTATTATTTTATCATTGCTGTTGGACAGTCAACTGTTGAGCTGTCCTCTCTGTGAGGTAGGGAGCAGGTCTGGCCTGCTTACTGACATATCACCACAATCCACCACATGCATGACTTTCAATGAAGGAAATTTTTTAGTGATAACCAAAAGGATAGTTGATATAAACAAAAAACAAGAGCAACAATATGCATCTGTCAAAACTAGACTTTTACTGTGCCTCTATATTCCATATTTCAATCTAATGTTTTACTTGATTTATGCTGTTCTTCCTAGTTCAAGGTTTTTATTCCTTCTCACTGAGGCAATCACTTAAATATATCAAACATTACTGCAAATACAGATAAAGGTATTTAATAAGAATTAACCAAACATGTTCTGATTTGCACAGCCTCAACTTTAAGCATGATTCCTTTGATACAAAACTCTGGTAAGAAATAAAAATATTTGTATTTGTATTTATATTAGACTTCATGAAAAACAACCAAAGCAAAGTACAAGATTTCTATTTGGCTCTCAAACACTGGAAAGCTGCAGGGCCTATCTTCTTAGACCAACTCTGGGTTCTCTTAAACTTTTCTTCACATATAAGTCCTCTATGCTTATTTCAGGGCAGTGAAGAGTTTTCCTTATCTTGGAACCACTTGAAACTTGCAATATTAATTCACATTTTGCAACAGAACTACCACTTTCCTAAGCATTATTGGCCCAGATTCTTTTTCATCTCATGCATCTTTAATCAGCACTTGCCTTGCTTTTTAACACTTGCAATGAGCATCACCCATCACTTTGCATTTATTTCAACTGACTCCTATCAGATATTAATATTCCCTTTCTTACCAAGGGTTAAGACCTATATGTTGATGTGTAAGTAGTCCTTTGCTGCAATTATATGCAGTTATGATCACAGGACAATTTATTCTCTTTTCTGGGGTATTAATAATATGAGTTCACCACTTCGGAACTTCTGCACAATTACATATGTCAATATTTATCATGTTTGCATATGCTTTTCACAGTAATTTTGAGAAAAGGCTATTGAAAGTTCCCACCTTAACACAACCAGCCCCATCTGGTTAACATCCAAATTAATTCAGTTACTAAATTCCCTTTCTTGGGTCTCCTTGTTTTGTAACTGAAAGCTGTCTAGTGTCCCTAATGTGATCTGTAGCTTATAAACGCCTGTTGTTTATTAATTGGTTATGCTCTATCATGTAGTAACATATAACTTCATCATCGGTGCCAATATTTTATTCAATTAGGGAAAAAAAAATGACTCAAGAGAAAGAACAACTGTTGCTGTCCAGAAGTCACAAGTACCATTTTGCTGGCAACACTGTTGGAAGAGGTATGTCTACCATTGACACCCACATACTTTTGTGCTCTTTTGCCTTTAGCATGAGACTAAGTTTCCTTGCAAAGCCACCACAACTGACCTCTTCTTTTCATGAACAAAATCAATGAGGGGGTGCTCAAAACACTTGCTGGCAGTTTTGCAATCTGTAGCACAAGGGGTTGGATGTTGTTGCAAAAATAAAGCTAAATACAAAGTGTTACAGTTTAAGAAAAATAAGGGAAATATTCAAATCACTTTTGGTATGATACATTAATTTCTTCAGGACTGCAGACAAATAATAATGGAAAGAACAATATTTTAAAAAGGGATGCACATCTTGAAAATATTTACTCACTCATCAGGTAACTTTAGAAAGTTCAACATCTGGAAGGGGTGTGTGTGTGTGTGTGTGTGTGTGTGTGTGAACCAATTTTCATTCTGTGGAGTGGGAGACTGACTATATTAGAGGCAGTGCCATGTAATAGACCCTATACTGTTGAGTAATGCAGAACTGAATTTGAATTCTGGCACTCTGAATAGTGATTATGGGACTCGGGCAATTTGTGTAACTTTTTAAACTTTGGTTTCTCAGAACAAAATTGTGCCTATTTGTACTTTTTTTTTTTTTAATTGAGGTAACATTGGTTTACCATGTTCTTTGTGTTTTACAAATATACACTCTCCTATTTGGGTGTTGTTCCTTTACCACACCGACAGTCAAAGCACCCATTCTCCTCCACTACAGCTTGAAGTGTTCCCTCCCCAGTCAGCTCTCGCTGTCTCTCCCTTGCTGTGGTAGCCTCATATCTACAGTCAGATTTCCAGGGTTTGTTTTTAGTTTGACGTTATCTGACCTTTGTTTCATTTTTCTGTGTTCCACACATAAGTAACAACATCAATATTTTTCTTTCTCTGTCAGACTTTTTTCTTATAGTAAAATCTCCTCCAGCTCCAACCATGTTGTCACAAGTGGCAAGAGTTTATCTTTCTAAACAGCTGACTAGTACTCCATTCTGTATAAATACCACATCTTGATCCACTCATCTATTTTTGGGCACTAGATTATTTCCTAGCTTAGCTATTGTAAATATTGCTGCAATGAACATAGTATTGCATATTTCCTTTGGAATTAGTGCTTCTGTATTCTTTGGGTAGATATCTAGGACCAGAATTACTGGATTAAATAGTAGATCTAATTTTAATATTTTGAAAAAAACTCCATACTGTTTTCCACAGGGGGTTTACAGATGTACATTCCCACCAACAGTGCACAAGTATTTCTTTTTCTCCACATCCTTGTCAACATTTGTTGTTTCCAGTCTTATTGATATGGGTCAGCCTCACAGATGTGAAGATATTTCATGGTGGTTTTTATTTGCATTTCCCTCATAGGTGAATTTTATCATTTTTTTTTATTTGAGTGTTGGCCAGTTATATGTCTTATACATCTTACGAGGAATTAATATCCAAGAGCTACAGGGGCCTACCTGCTGTCGCAGGCGGCTAAGTGCAGTGCTGTGAAGCTGTCTGCAGTCTCTGCAGTGCTGGCTCAATCCCTGCTAGCCAGGGAGAAACCCACATGGCGCTGCAGACCTCTCCTGTCTCGCCCACTGCTCCCCTCAGCAGTGTATTTTGGTCATTCTGCTTGTTCTGCTCCCCACTCTATCTCTAGTGAATCCTATCACCCTCCCACACATTTGGCCTGTACCCCAGTTCCTGTATAAATAAATCTTAAAAAAAATCCAAGAGCTACAAAGAACTCAAATAACTCAACAATAAAATAAAAAAATCCCATTAAAAAATGAATAGATGGGGCCTCTCCCGTGGCGCAGTTGTTGAGCACTGGGTTGCGAAGCTGCCTGCAGCCTCTGCAGCGCCGGTTCAATCCCCAGCCGCCGGTGAGGGTCCCACATGGTGCACAGACCTCTTCTGCCACCCACTGCTCTCCTCAGCAGTGTACTTCGGTCCTTCTGCCTGCTCTGCTCCCTGCTCTGGCTCTGGTGAATTCTCTCACCCTCCCGTGCTTCTGACTGTACCCAGTGCTTGTATAAATAAATGAATGAATGAATGAATGAATGATGAATGAATAAATCTTAAAAAAATAAGTGGATAGATGAGCTAAATAGACACTTTTCTTTCAACAAGAATTTGAACCAAAGAGTGTCTTTACATTTAAAAGCAAACTCCTGAACTTCCCACTCAAACGTGGAAACAAATCTTCACTGCCAGTCATGAAAGTTTACATACACAAAACCCAAATATCACCTCAGCTCCTCCTTCTCCCTCCAAGAGTTCATCAAGTTTTTCAGTTATATTAATTGAATCCATTTTGATCTTTATCACTAAGAGTATTTAATTCTTCTTTTCCTGGACTGCCATCATTTTCTGACTGTTCTACCTTTAAGGTATCCTTCTTCCAGTTTCCTAACGAATGCATTTTCCTCTCAACAGTGAGTGTGATTTAAAAAAAAAAAATAGTAATAAACTCTCTTCATGTAACAGCTTCCTCTTTAAAACCCCACAAGGGTTTGTTTCTTTTTGAAGTATTTTAAGCAGGAACTCAAATCCATACACTGTAAAGCTCTTAAGGAATTACATCAGAAGGGCATGATTTGGTCTCTGCCTAATCATCTTTCCCATTCCATTTCAGCCACCTCTTT